AGATTTGCTATTGAAATTTCATGCCGATTGCATTCCCTGTTCTAAAGGAGCTGTGACAATTCGATGGTTATACACACATCACGCTACCTACTGGTCACTATTTTCCTATTAGTTCTGTCACGACGATGGTGAAGTAAACTAATAATATAGAGTTCAGCGGATCGAAGGAATTGAGACAGAGAATCTTTCTAGCACTGGTGATAAAAAACTCTCCTCACCGAAACACTAAGAGTAAAATATGGAGCAAATGCCTCGGACGACTAATGTACCGTTATCCCACCAAATCTTGAGAACTCATTTTTTGAAATTGCCGTTAAACCTCCAACAATCGTTTCCTGGCCGTCCGCGTTCGTCACAACGTCTTGTTTTTTACTGATCCCAAGGAGAAACTAAACCGAGAAAGCAAGTCCAACACGACAACAAATGACAAACCTTTAACAAATGACCTCACCAACACCGTGACCAGTTTACACTCTGCTGACGGATCCAATGGTTTTGGTCAACCATGTACAGTAACGATTCACCACCTTGATGAATTAGTTAATACCCATGGATCAAGTAAAAGAAAAGACACAAAGATAACCAGTCCGAAAAGAGCCGTATTCTAAATGCCTATGTACAGTCTTGAAACGCCAGCTGTCCTGAAGTGTCAAGAAGCTCATCTAGATAGTTCCCAACAGCTGTCTGCACAGTATCCTCAAAGTGCAATGGTATCACTGGTCTGAAAAAATAATCAGTTGAACTCAGAGACCCGCGCCTGGCTTCTTTTGATAAAACGATTCAAAAAGAGAATAAAAATATTTTCAAAATCTTTCGCGGATAGCAACCATGTACTGGCTGCAGACTGGTTGGAGGAACACAAAAGGTGAAAACACCTCGCTGAGGCAGACCTGTGTGTGAAAACAACTATGATCTTTCTTCCAGCACAGAACGTTGCCCAAACAATTTTTAACGGCCAGATACAATAAATCTGGATCACTTTACTACAGAAGCTGTAAAACTTAGAAAACGATGACAATGCCATAATACCCACGCCCCCAAGAGTACTCACTCATTTGTACTGTCCCTCGGTCGGTAAAGATAGTGATCG